GAGTACTCCGATGACGTGCTGATTAAAGATCTGGATACTTGATTTTCTAGTCATATCAATAGCACAGAATTAGCAGTGACTGCTATGATATGGAAATTCCATATTTCAGACAACTCATCTTGTTATTGGTCCACCGAAAGTGTCCTGTATCTATCAACTAGAGGCTTATTCATAAGGTTTGTTACTCTGCAAGGCATCATTTCCTCCCAACAGGACGTGTAATACTGAGCAGTGTCCCTATTATCTCATATACACAGAAAGAGTGGGTACTTGCTGAACCCCGGCTGTTGTCTAAACAAAAGATTCACGCAAATAAACCACTCATACTGGACATAAAGAATTTTATCCAGCAGATACTTCACTGCTTTTCAGTGATCGTTTGCTGCTGTCAATTAAATGTCTGCAATCTCTGCGCAATATCCGTACAATACGCCAATTTCTTTTCTTCAGGCAAAAAAAGAGAGGTACTCTTGATGCCTGTTGCGGTAAAAGGTGAGGTGAGCACTGTCAGAGAGTAATATTTTTCCGTCAGTCTGAATGCCATCAATTCAGCAGAGGACTTTGACAAGCAGAGGTCGCGAATTAGATCATTTAATTCTTTTGGGAACGAGGATGTGGAGCATCATCGCCAAAAACCACTTCTTTTTCTTAAACACTGGAGAAATCTTCCGCGCCAATGTCAGCAAGATCTCCTAAAACAGGAATTGGAATTTCATAACAGTGCCCTAAAGATAGACGGTGCTGGTTGAACATCACGATACTTGAGGATACGCCTGTTCTTTCTTTGGATCTTAGTCACATCAATTGCACAGAATTAGCAGTGAGTGCTATGGTATAGGAATTCCATATTTCAAACATTTCATCTTGCCCTTGGTCCACCGACGTAGATAATCGATACAGGGTCTTACAAGCTATGTATAAGGCCCAACATTTTTCCTTGTCACCAAGTTACTGAGTCGTTTCTTGACAGTGTGCTGAAGTGAATGAGATCTTGAATATATGAGCAGTTAAGGTGACATGGCCCTTAGTCGAATCTGTACTTGAGGTCAAACATTGTGATTTTTTATACCGTTATATATGAGAAATTGTGTAATTTTAGCTATTTCTAATTGGCCCTAAAAAGTCACATAGTATACTTACTACTACGTTCGTGAGACATCTTGAATATCAGCAGTTAGAGTGGCATTGTCCTTAGCGGAATCTGAGAGACATCGTGATTTTTATACTGTTAATCCTGAGAAATTGTTTCCAGAATTATATAGTTTTAATCATTGCTAACTGACCCTAGAAAATCACATGGCATACTTACTACTACTCCCGTGATATATTTTGGCGTTATACGTAGATTATAATGACTAATAAAACAACCATTATGATTTATATTCTATGGCTTTCATATTCTTCTTGTTGTTGTTGATTTGAACACTGGAGAAATCTTCCTCACTAATGCCAGGTAGTTCTCCAAAGACAGGTATTAGAATTTCATCACAGTGTGCTAAAGGACGACGTTCTGATTGAAGATCAGGATACTTAAGGTTACTCCGGTTCTTGTTAGGGAACCCAGTCACATCAATAACTTAGAATTAGCAATCAGAGCTATGGTTTGTCTATGGTTTGTTGGCTCCTCTAAACGATGGGAATTCCAAATTACATGCAACTCTTCTTGCCATTGGTCCACCGACGCAGATACTCGTTACATACCATATGTGGCGCCTTAGCTTTATCGTGTTTACCAAGGTGCTGAGTCGTTTCTTGATAACGTATGTGGAAGTGAATGAGGTCTTGAATATCAGCAGTTAGAGAGTGACATTGTCCTTAGTGGAATCTGAGAGACATCGTGATTTTTATACTGTTATTCCTGAGAAATTGTTTCCAGAATTATATAGTTTTACTCATTGCTAACTGACCCTAAAAAATCACATGACATACTTACTACTACGTCCGTGAGATATTTTTGAGGTATACCTAAATTATAATGACTAATAAACCAGACTTTCTGATTTCTGTGGTTTTGTATTGTACAGTTTAATTGTTGTGTTTTGAGATGTAAGCACATTATTGCGTGTTATTGGCTTATAAATATTTTGGAGGCGTGTTTTAATATTTATGTAGTTACTTTTGTCTGAAAATAATTCTGATGGGTTAAAATTAAAAAAAATATAATTAACGTAATAATTAGTTTTAGTGTGTGAAATATATTGCATATTTAGATATTTTAATGGACATGTCAATATAAACAAAAACGTAAAAAAGAATTTGGCCATAGCTCAAAAAGTTGATCTGATTGAGCAAAACCAATGTGATGTTTGGATTGGGCACATCAGAATTGTCTTGAATCCTGTATTAGTGTTAACCAGTGTAATAAAATAATGAATGCATAAAGTTAACATCAAATAGAGTGATATGAAATGTATTAAAAAAAGAAAAGCTCAAATGAATACAACCAATGATGACTTCAAAAGCATTCATCAGCATTCAGTTTAGGTTTAAGGCTCCAATTTTTCCACAGTGAATTGTACTACGAGACAATAGATTACTGGATTAAAACATTGGTTTCACGAATTTGGTGATTGTAAGTTATATAATCACTGGGTCGGACAGTTTACGCTTGAGCTAAATGGAAACAGCAATATTAAAATAAAGATAT